CTGCATGACCGCAACTTCAATTTGCCGTGTGTGCCATTGGAACTGCTATTTTTCTTCTGCTTGTTAAAATTCTTCTAAGAAAGGAGATGAATATAGGACCCTCCCTTCGTGGTTGTGTTTTGCGTCCTTTGTTTTTACCTTTCCTCCACCCACTTGCTCTTTTACCTCCATGAACTTGTCTAGTCCCTCACACGCATTCTTTTTCAATACCAGCACGAAGTGACGGACACATGAAACGTGACTTCACATTACCATCGTTCTCTAATGTAGCCTCTCTGAAGGGATATTTCAGGCAAGGGCCATACTGTCATTCGCTAGTACCATGGCTCATCACATTGTCGTTCATGTATTTTTTCTTTCTGCGAATGATTTTGCTTTACGTGTCCCCGTTCTCTGGTTTCAACACGAACGCCCTCAACACAATCAGCCTCAATTCCCTACCCTACGATACGTTTGAGGAGGTGTTCCAATGGTCTTCAAAGACTGGTACAACAACGGAGAGGACTGTCGCTGTTTCTCGGGGCTCCTCCTACTCTCCCCACTTATTCAAGATACTGATATTTACACTGACCAGCGTCTGTCCTCTTTCTACTACCCTCATAGCCGGAATATGGCGCTTTCTTATGTATCTCAGACAAGGGGAAGGAAGAGGAACAGAGATTAAGCGGAAGCAAAAGCCCTGTCCGCATAGGGGAATGCCTCAGTAGAGATGATTAGGAAAGCATAGCGAATCTACCCCCATCCACCTTTTTATTCCGCCATACAACGTCCCGTCACAAATATGTGACAATGACTATGCTGCTAGCTCTCCTTTTGGTTTACTGGGGTTCAATCTATGCATGCTGCAATTACAACAATACGAGTGGAAATTTCAATGATGAGTTTAATTTTTATAGGGATATACTCACTGTTTCCTTGGTTTTGGGTGGGAGCTTCTATTTGCGTTGTTGTTCTGTATCCCTTTTGTCTAATTTTGTTTACATGTGTTTCTCATAATAACCTTTATGACTATTATTTACAGTGTGCTCCTCATTTTTATATCCTTCACACTGATTTATGTTGTAGCTACAGTGGAGAAATACCCTGTGTAAGGCATTTTTGTAGCCAGCCTACTACACTGTCACTTCCATAGTAAATGACATGCTTTTAATCTTTGAACATTCAACATTCAACGTGAACGCGTCATCTGAATGCGGGATTTTTCCATAATGTATCCGTCGGTAACGGTTGACGGGTACTACACATACCCTACACTTAACGTTATTAACCCTCGGCGGCGCATGCGCAGCGAGGGTTACAGTAGTCGTTCTGTCTGTCTGTCCGTCTGTCGTCTGTCCGCGCGAGTTCTAGCACTACAGGCTACGAGGCGGCCAATGAGTGGCACCAACAGGTTGTGAACGACGAGAAGATTGATATTAATGTGGCGATTTTCCCGAAACGACTGCGTTCCAGAGATATGGCGTGAAAAAAGTCAACGCGCGGTCGATCGCGCACGCGGCCCCTCTCCTGCAGGCGCGCACGCGTCATGTCAATTAATCGCCGGAGCATGCGCTACGCCACGTTGGTTGTATATACGATCCACGGCCTCCTGTCAGTTTTGATCTCTGTTCCCTATGGATAAACGATAAACATGCCTGAGCAAGGTATGTTCGCAATGTAGCATAATAGTTCAGGTGGCGAGCAGTTTGTGGTTGCGGCCTTGCCTTCCCATCTATAAAACGTCTGGCAAGAGCATTGAAACACAGAAGAGCAGATAGATTGAATAAAGCAATATGAGAGCCTCTGAAACACCTGAGCTATTGCTCTAACCGCTAATGCAACTACCCTGTGTTACAGTGAGACTCGTGTTACTGGCTCCGTCGATGACGCACGGCCCAGCATACAGCGATGCTACAACTCACTACTTTACCGCGGAGGGTTTGCACTTTAGTGCTTTTCATTGTAAATAAGCATGAAAACACCCACGAAATATATAACTGCTCGCTTCGCTCACCTGCACGGTTACATGAGTTAGTATCATACAAAGCCATCAGTATCTCTTCAGGTGTTGCAGTGGGATAATTTTGCACATAGCTACGATGAATACACATTCGTTGCTACCATTTGCTTTTTCCTTTTGGTACTTTCATTTGGTGGAAATCAGAATGACACATCATAGTGCAACTGTATATACTTGTGTGATGTATTTTTCTTTGAACTCGACCAGGAGCAGCCTCTTCCTCTGCCCCCAGTCGACGCAGGCCCTCACAGACCTGGTGTACAGAGTCCACACCTCCCAACTAACCACTGGTCCAGTCCACTCTGGAACTCATGGCCTCTGCGCCACTGCAACGAAGGTGATTCACACCCCCTGCCTGGATTACATTTGGCTTACAATTAATGTCTCCGACGTGTGCATGAAGATATTAGACCATGTGATGCCAAGAGAAAAAATAGGCTGAGCTCTGCACAGCTGTTTCGGGCTTGTTGGCCCTCATCAGCAGAGCATACCGCAACTTCTCTCTCTGGCATCACGAGTTTATAAAGGCTATATACCAGGAGCGCAGCACTTGTGGTTCTGAACTAATGAGATTCATCCCAGCTTTTTATCTTTAACATGTACACCTTGATGGACACATGCAGGAGTTTTACAGTAAAGCTTGTTAGTTCTCTGGACAGAATGCATGTCTATGCACATTTTTAGAGCCCAATCCCTCATGGGAATGTTGCAGAATGTAAGGACTAAAGTTAGTTAGAAACTGTTACTAAAAGTGGAAACTGGATTACATTCTTGCACTGGGCCCTTTTTATCTTTAACATTTCAATTTTAGCCATTATGTACTGAGATCCTTTAATGTACGTAGCATGTAATTATACTCAGTTTTTATAGTGATGTTTTCACTGTGGCAGCCATAGCACCATATAGGGCCATCGACCACGCACCCAAAACTGTGCAATGAGTACTGTAAGTGCTGCACAGATAGCTGTTAGTCTTATGCTATGTAGTGTTTGTTTAATATGGGACTAACAATAGCAGACAGTAATGTGTACAAAACCAAACAATAGCACATTAATGATAGTAGTTGTTGTTGGTAAAGGCCAGTGGAACAACTGTGAAGAAGCTGTCTGCTATGAGAGATAACCTCACTCGCAGAGGAACCATGCCAGCCAAGAAAGGCCCGGAACAAAATGCACTAACATCCTATGTAAAACACCTTGACATAATCCTAAATTCGCACCATTGCCAGACTTGGCACATTTTTAACGAATTGAACATGCATAGTCTTTCCTTTTAGCTAAACTTTTGTTTCTCTACCTGTTATGTCAGTTGCTAACTTTTTGGTGAATCTTCTTCCCCAGTGAGGCGAGGCGATCGCGATACTCCAAGTTCTTGTAGTGGTTCTCTGGGACTCCAGCGTAGCCCTCCATGGCCCCCCAGCAGGAAGCAGCAACGATCCCTGTGCTGTCAGAGTCTCCTCCGTGCAGCATGCTGTGCTCACACAGATCAATCCACTGCCGCCTCTTGTCTCCCGCTGGTCTCCACGTGTTGAGCAAGGCCTCGTAGGCAATTATGGGGGCATCGTGACCACTGGCACCTCCAGTTCCACTGTAACTCAAGCTCTTGTAGAAGCGTCTCTCTCCTTGACACTCTTCACGTCGTGGTCTTCAAACACGGCGTCCGTCTTCCCCGAGGTGAGCTGTCGCAGAGCCAGGTAGTCCTTCCAGTGCTGCTCAAAGTAGGTCCAGTTGTCCATGTGCTCCTTGTGGTCTCTCTGAGGACTGTGCTGGATGATATACTGCTTGGCCGTGTCCAGAGTGCGCAGGAGTCCAGCGCCCCATTCCCGGAGTGGTCTCTTCTGGACCGAGTAGGACACAAAGAGAGCCACGGCCAGTGAGCCCAGGTAGCCAGTCGGGTGATGGTGGGTCATCCGTCCCGACTCAATGGAGACTGACACCAGTTTGTCCAGCTGTTCGGGTCTCCAGAAGTACAGGCCAATAGGAGCGGCTCTCATGGCTGCGCCACACCCTCCACCTTTCCTGTCGAACGGGATCACCCATCCTTCCTTTGCATGGGGCTTCAGCATGTGGACTTTGCTGCTGCAAGTAAGACCAGGAGCCCTCCCAGCCATATCCCGCATGCACTCTTTGTACTTGAGAGCGATGGCGGAGTAGAGTTGGTCGCTGTCTGACCACTCGGTGAGGAGGGCCTCGGCTGTTGCGATGTGCATGACGGTGTCATCGCTCACCATCCACCCCTTAGGGTTTACGGCAACGCCCCCTATTCCTCCGAGCTCCTTCGCCTCAGCATGGATTCTCTCCCCCGATCGACAGAACTCCCAGGAGCCGTTCTTGTAGCCTAGTGCGTCTCCGACACCGCTCAATACCATAGAGGCTTCGAAATGCGTGCAAAGTTCAGCGTCGGCCATGGTCTCTCGTCCGGTCTCTACCCATTACGTAAGCCGTGAAAGGACATTCCATAGTTCCGCACCAGGTGGGCGCATGCGCAATCGTTGCGTCTGCAAATGCGCATTCGCAGTATGGAAGCATGGAAGGACAGAAGGGCATGATGGAAAAATGGAAGTTCATGTAGAACGGAATGGAATGGCCTTCTCGGCTTTCGTAACCCTATACAGGTTCTGAGCCGCACACACAGTAATTGTAGGGGCCCAAAGAATTGCGCTTGAGCATTTACGAACCCGACAGAGAACTGTCTGCATATTTCGCTCTTTGCTTGTTATAATTGTCCTGTGACATAAACAACCACTTTTTGTCTTTTTATAAGACTGATTGTTCTAGGAAGACTGTGAGTTAAAAAAGTAAGTCACGATTGCTTAGCCAGAACGGCCATGGCTACCCTCTCGAAGTCAGACTTCCTTGCCCCTGCAAGAAGTCGGGCCAGCGGGAGTTGCCAGGCCCGTAGATGTAGTTAGCTACGCAACTATATATTATTATTGTCGTTGTTATAGGCACATACCAACGTATGTATTATTCAAGAGCGAACAGGTGTGCTGCCATCAGGTAGGTGACAATAGCTTCACAGTAATTACTCTTTGTTGGTATATAATCAGTAGGTCCTGGCCCTTTCGAAAGCCCAATGTAGCTATCAGGAAGTAAAGTGTAAACTTGAACTTCTTCACAAAACGTACCAGACTTCAGGTTCAAATGATGCCAAGGAGTCGGCCATAGTAGTAATAAAAGATCAAGTACAGATGTTTATTCTTAAATCTCTAAAAACTGGACTAGATCCAGAGAGTTGCGCGTTAGTTATGAAAATAAGCCTGATGATCCAGAACGAAGTGCAACGCCTCCGTTTCGTATGGGCAAATTTTACAAGGGAGCGTTTGGAGGCTTTCCGGTTCCTGGTGGAAATTCTACCATGCCCGGTACTACTCACCCACCAGAATCATCCCCTTCTTGGATCTGACTCACATCATGAGTCTGCCCTTGCCTCAGCTTCCTCTTCTAGCTCCACAACCCAACCACAGCCCGTCGGTTTTGCTTCATCCACTTACCCCCACACTCGTACAGCAGAATCCCTGGATTCCTCAAGTCTTGATCCACTCTACACTGAGGTGGTTACTGGAAAGGCTTCTGCACACATGTCATTAGCTTTAACACCTTCAACTGCTTTGCAGCGACGAATGCCTCCATTTCATCTTTATCTTTAGAGCAAAATCCTGGAAACGTCAACGAATTCTTAATGAATGCACTACACATTGTTCAACTTACTTTCGTACTAGATCCAAAAGCATACCCAGAGAAGATATTTTTTCCTGACGACGTTACTAGCTTCTTGCAGTCAAGTCTTAAAGGACTTATCGAAAGGGGTCAAAAACTTGGTCATAGTAATTTAGAAATTGTAGGAAAAACACATCTGGAAGAGATCTATCCTGGATCAACTACAATTCGGAGGAATATGCTTCTAGAGTCACCCAGGCGTGTTTTAGCGCAATCAATAGGCAAACTTGCTAATTTCATAGGAGAAATGCAGATGGAAGAAACTTTTTCTAAGCCTAAGAAGAAGAATGGTAATATGCAAATGCTTAAGCTAATAAATGACATCTACAATATTGATGTTTCTCGATGTGCGGCGTTACTTGGTGCTTTCATGGAGCGTTGCATTGAGATTCCTTTCTTAAAATCACCCGAGGTCACGGCAAAGGCTGTGTCTTCACCAATGGCTGTCGGAGTTTGGGCACTTTTCAGTCTCGTCGTGAAGAATTACAGAAAATGCTTGAGTCATCTCAAAACACCGAGCTTGTTATTAATGTCAAGGAGTACATGCACAGTGTACTTACTGACAAATCTCAAGACGACAGAGAAATGGAAGAGCAGAGGTATGCCGGTAAGCTACAATTCCTTTTGCAAGGGATGCACAGGACGGTCACGTCTAGCACAAAGTATGTAAGTTACTCGCTCGACTACCAGCTTTGCAACAACCTCAAGTTTAGCAAAGACACGTCAGTGCAGGATTTGATTTCAAAGTGGGATAAAATATTCAAGGATGACATCCTTTGTCATGTAGCTAAATCCCACCGGCCGCTTTTAGCTCGCTGGCTTAAATGGACAATTCTCGTTCACGACTTGCGCGAGGTTCTTGCAGAATCCACGTGCATTAGCGTGACTGGTTTGGTCAACTCCGGAAAATCACTACTTGTCAAACAGCTATTCAACTTAAAGGTATAAAAATGTACAAATAGATAGCAGTAATTGTTAACAATATTTTTTTCTTTTAGAGAGTCCAGGTTGGAACACTAAAATCCAAGCAAACCACAGTACCTTTGCTCTATAATCTGAATATTGGCTCCCTGGATGTTATCGACTTCCCAGGAATGGATGACAATGATGAATGTGTACCAGATCTAGCCCAACTAATGCTGACACTCTCACAAATGATTGTTTTTGTCGTAGACTACCGGTATGCAACCTGTTTACAAGGAAAATCAAACTTATAGTCATCTCTTTTTGCAGACGAATCTCTGCCACAGCAATAAAACTGTGGTTGGACAAGATGAAGAGCGATGACGATGTCCCTGTTCTAATATGTCTCACGCACGCCGACAACCTATATTTGGAGTGTGTAGCCAAGGAAGAAGAGTATAAAATCGAGGCAATTGAAGACAAGAGAAAAGCAATACAGAGAGAACTACAGGTATGTCAGTATGGTTTTGCTGATAACAATTTCGAGTGTATATGGTGTGATATTGATTAAACACACAGACTTATCGGGAGGTTATTGGACCCAAGCACTCCTGGAATGTGGATTTTTATGCCTTTACACAAGTACCAACAGTTAAAAGAGAAGATCTCGAAGCTGTGGGTATCAGATCACCAAGTGATGTTGGTGAGTGGCTCGTTGAAATCCTGAAAAACAAATTAGGCCAAGGAGATTTATCTGAACAACTGCAAACATTTTTCACTAACCGTGAAAGGTCGTGCAATAACCAGTGAGAACCTGCATTTGCTATAATTATTATATACTTCAACTATTATTCCCACTGAAATTGGTGTATTTTATATACTATAACGGCATAGTCATAGCTGCGCAGTGCACGTACCCACTTGTACTCATCACCTAAAACTCTACTGCTGCTATTTGTAGCGTAATCCACTGAGCCTGCTGGGTTGGTTGTGGTTCATAATATAATGCATTGAGTCTTTGGTGCATGGTGTAAAGGTTCCCTTTTTGGAAACCCCAGTGTTCCTATATACTTAGCTCTATGACTTCAGCAGTAGGTGGGAGTGGAGATTATCCTTCGTCCAATACGCCGAGGAAAAGAGTAGTTATGCTCCGCCAGGTGCTGTGTGCTGGCACAACCAGACGAAAGTGACAGTGTGTCTCAAATTATCAAAAATACAGCAGGTGGCTTAGACTATAAATATAATTGCTCTCCTGCGTCACCTATATATTTGCTGCAGTCAACTACAACCAGCTACATTCACAAGGGCTGATGGTAATCATAATCCATTGCGTAATATACACAGAATTCATATCCTGTATAATATTATACGTACTGTGTACTGACTATTATGTTATTGCAACCTTGCACATGCAATTCATATGCTATTTGTGTGCATGATAAAGGATATTCCTTACGTAGCAACAAGGAACTATAGTCATGAAGGTTGTTTTTTTGTCTGACCAAACACAGACAGTAAGTTCATAGCATGACATTGCAGTGATGAATGCGGTCATAGGTGACCTGACACTGCACCCATGAGTCATCACGTTTGGCAACACGCTATACAGGACTTGCAGAAGTATTATTTTGTGAAGGACGATGACAATTCCCCTAAGGCACCGGTTGGCAGCATAGAATAAGACAGCGACAACGTGGAATAGCTGTAGCCGTAGCACTGTCAACATTGCTCGTCCTCACATTAGCCTTCAGCCTCCACTGCATGCACCACATCTAAAAATTATCCTCAGAATCAGTCACACCCGCAAATAATAGGCCACCAATACCTTCACTCCAACTTAGTTCTATTCCCAGCCCAGCCTGCGCAACTTCTGCAGTCAAACACAGAATGGGTGACAAACTACATTCCGGAGCTAACTGCTGTTCGATCAACATCAACCCTTTCCGTCCATCAACACAGCACTATTTGAAGACTTGTGTAAGCATAGGTGAAAAGACAACCTGGTCAATGAATTGCTGAAACGTTTGTGCTGCGTTCCTTAGACCAAAGAGCATCCGCACGAACCATATTATTTTACTCTCCAAATCTCCCTTTTGCTGTGATAGAACCCTCCATGTTGTTATGCCACAGTGGTCTTCTTGCACTGTGCACAAAATGATTTAGTTACCTATGCTACGCCAAGGTTTTACTTTTGGCGACATTGACTGTATTGTTGTTTGGAACACATCAACTGTAAAACGTGTTGTTTTGCACGAAAAGAGGGCTTTTGCAGATCTGGTCCAGTTTTGACCTCACGCACGCCTACTAAACAGCTATTGAGTTTTGTATTATTCACTAATATGTGGGAATTTATAATTAATGGCTGCAAAAGAACTCTAAAACACTGTTTGTCCACAAAAATTAACAGTGAGTGGTAAGTAGGGTAAAATTAATGGCTGCAAAACGACCTGAAGGAACCCAAAACCCACCCACCGTTTACTGTTATTGTCCACAAACTAAAAGTGAGTGGTGGTATTTTTATGGACTCAAACATGCTCCTATACTCTTTTATGTAAGTGGTTTGGGTTTTAACTCACAGTCTTGCTAGAACAATCAGTCTTATAAAAAAACACAAAGAGGTTGTTTACGTCACGGGACAATTATCTATAATAAGCAAAGAGTGAAATATGCAGACAGTTCTCTCTCGGGTTCGTAAATGCGCATGCGCAATTCTTTGGGCCCCTACAATTACTGTGTGTGCGGCTCAGAACCTGTTTGGGTTACGAAAGCCGAGAAGACCATTCCATACTTCCGTTCTACATGAACTTCCATTCTTCTATCCTTCTGTCTTCCATACTGCGCTTGAATAATATATGCGCAGACGCAACGATTGCGCATGCGCCCACCTTGTGTGAATAGCTTACGTAGGGGTAGAGAGACAGGAGACCATGGCCGACGCTGAACTTTGCACGCATTTCGAAGCCTCTATGGTATTGAGCGGTGTCGGAGACGCACTAGGCTACAAAAACGGCTCCTGGGAGTTCTGTCGATCGGGGGAGAGAATCCATGCTGAGGCGAAGGAGCTCGGAGGAATAGGGGGCGTTGCCGTAAACCCTAAGGGGTGGATGGTGAGCGATGACACCGTCATGCACATCGCAACAGCCGAGGCCCTCCTCACCGAGTGGTCAGACAGCGACCAACTCTACTCCGCCATCGCTCTCAAGTACAAAGAGTGCATGCGGGATATGGCTGGGAGGGCTCCTGGTCTTACTTGCAGCAGCAAAGTCCACATGCTGAAGCCCCATGCAAAGGAAGGATGGGTGATCCCGTTCGACAGGAAAGGTGGAGGGTGTGGCGCAGCCATGAGAGCCGCTCCTATTGGCCTGTACTTCTGGAGACCCGAACAGCTGGACAAACTGGTGTCAGTCTCCATTGAGTCGGGACGGATGACCCACCATCACCCGACTGGCTACCTGGGCTCACTGGCCGTGGCTCTCTTTGTGTCCTACTCGGTCCAGAAGAGGCCACTCTGGGAATGGGGCGCTGGACTCCTGCACACTCTGGACACAGCCAAGCAGTACATCACCCAGCACAGTCCTCAGAGAGACCACAAGGAGCACATGGACAACTGGACCTACTTTGAGCAGCACTGGAAGGACTACCTGGCTCTGCGACAGCTCACCTCGGGGAAGACGGACGCCGTGTTTGAAGACCACGACGTGAAGAGTGTCAAGGAGAGAGACGCCTTCTACAAGAGCTTGAGCTACAGTGGAACTGGAGGTGCCAGTGGTCACGATGCCCCCATAATTGCCTACGAGGCCTTGCTCAACACGTGGAGACCAGCGGGAGACAAGAGGCGGCAGTGGATTGATCTGTGTGAGCACAGCATGCTGCACGGAGGAGACTCTGACAGCACAGGGATCGTTGCTGCTTCCTGCTGGGGGGCCATGGAGGGCTACGCTGGAGTCCCAGAGAACCACTACAAGAACTTGGAGTATCGCGATCGCCTCGCCTCACTGGGGAAGAAGATTCACCAAAAAGTTAGCAACTGACATAACAGGTAGAGAAACAAAAGTTTAGCTAAAAGGAAAGACTGTGAATGTTCAATTCGTTAAAAATGTGCCAAGTCTGGCAATGGTGTGAATTTAGGATTATGTCAAGGTGTTTTACATAGGATGTTAGTGCATTTTGTTCCGGGCCTTTCTTGGCTGTCATGGTTCCTCTGCGAGTGAGGTTATCTCTCATAGCAGACAGCTTCTTCACAGTTGTTGCACTGGCCTTTACCAACAACAACTACTATCATTAATGTGCTATTGTTTGGTTTTGTACACATTACTGTCTGCTATTGTTAGTCCCATATTAAACAAACACTACATGGCATAAGACTGACAGCTATCTGTGCAGCACTTACAGTATAATTATACTCACTGCACAGTTTTGGGTGCGTGGTCGATGGCCCTATATGGTGCTATGGCTGCCACAGTGAAAACATCACTATAAAAACTGAGTATAATTACATGCTACGTACATTAAAGGATCTCAGTACATAATGGGCTAAAATTGAAATGTTAAAGATAAAAAGGGCCCAGTGCAAGAATGTAATCCAGTTTCCACTTTTAGTAACAGTTTCTAACTAACTTTAGTCCTTACATACTGCAACATTCCCATGAGGGATTGTGCTCTAAAAATGTGCATAGACATGCATTCTGTCCAGAGAACTAACAAGCTTTACTGTAAAACTCCTGCATGTGTCCATCAAGGTGTACATGTTAAAGATAAAAAGCTGGGGATGAATCTCATTAGTTCAGAACCACAAGTGCTGCGCTCCTGGTATATAGCCTTTATAAACTCGTGATGCCAGAGAGAGGAGTTGCGGTATGCTCTGCTGATGAGGGCCAACAAGCCCGAAACAGCTGTGCAGAGCTTAGCCTATTTTTTCTCTTGGCATCACATGGTCTAATATCTTCATGCACACGTTGGAGACATTAATTGTAAGCCAAATGTAATCCAGGCAGGGGGTGTGAATCACCTTCGTTGCAGTGGCGCAGAAGGCCATGAGTTCCAGAGTGGACTGGACCAGTGGTAGTTGGGAGGTGTGGACTCTGTACACCAGGTCTGTGAGGGCCTGCGTCGACTGGGGGCAGAGGAAGAGGCTGCTCCTGGTCGAGTTCAAAGAAAAATACATCACACAAGTATATACAGTTGCACTATGATGTGTCATTCTGATTTCCACCAAATGAAAGTACCAAAAGGAAAAAGCAAATGGTAGCAACGAATGTGTATTCATCGTAGCTATGTGCAAAATTATCCCACTGCAACACCTGAAGAGATACTGATGGCTTTGTATGATACTAACTCATGTAACCGTGCAGGTGAGCGAAGCGAGCAGTTATATATTTCGTGGGTGTTTTCATGCTTATTTACAATGAAAAGCACTAAAGTGCAAACCCTTCGCGGTAAACTAGTGAGTTGTAGCATCGCTGTATGCTGGGCCGTGCGTCATCGACGGAGCCAGTAACACGAGTCTCACTGTAACACAGGGTAGTTGCGTTAGCGGTTAGAGCAATAGCTCAGGTGTTTCAGAGGCTCTCATATTTGCTTTATTCAATCTATCTGCTCTTCTGTGTTTCAATGCTCTTGCCAGACGTTTTATAGATGGGAAGGCAAGGCCGCAACCACAAACTGCTCGCCACCTGAACTATTATGCTACATTGCGAACATACCTTGCTCAGCATGTTTATCGTTTATCCATAGGGAACAGAGATCAAAACTGACAGGAGGCCGTGGATCATATATACAACCAACGTGGCGTAGCGCATGTTCCGGCGATTAATTGACATGACGCGTGCGCGCCTGCAGGAGAGGGCGCGTGCGCGATCGACCGCGCGTTGACTTTTTTCACGCCATATCTCTGGAACGCAGTCGTTTCGGGAAAATCGCCACATTGTTATCAATCTTCTCGTCGTTCACAACCTGTTGGTGCCACTCATTGGCCGCCTCGTAGCCTGTAGTGCTAGAACTCGCGCGGACAGACGGACAGACAGACAGAATGACTACTGTAACCCTCGCTGCGCATGCGCGCCGAGGGTTAATAACGTTAAGTGTAGGGTATGTGTAGTACCCGTCAACCGTTACCGACGGATACATTATGGAAAAATCCCGCATTCAGATGACGCGTTCACGTTGAATGTTGTATGTTCAAAGATTAAAAGCGTTGTCATTTACTATGGAAGTGACAGTTAGTAGGCTGGCTACAAAAATGCCTTACACAGGGTACTTCTCCACTGTAGCTACAACATAAATCAGTGAAGGATATAAAAATGAGGAGCACACTGTAAATAATAGTCAATAAAGGTTATTATGAGAAACACATGTAAATAAAATTAGACAAAAGGGATACAGAACAACAACGCAAATAGAAGCTCCCACCAAAACCAAGGAAACAGTGAGTATATCCCTATAAAAATTAAACTCATCATTGAAATTTCCACTCGGTATTGTTGTAATTGCAGCATGCATAGATGAACCCCAGTAAACCAAAAGGAGAGCTAGCAGCATAGTCATTGTCACATAGTTGTGAGCGGGACGTTTGTACGGACGGAATACAAGGTTGAGACTGAGATACAGTAGAAGCCATATTCCGGCTATGAGGTAGTAGAGAGAGGACTGCTGCGTCAGTGTAAATATCAGTATTTGAATAAGTGGGGAGAGTAGGAGGAGCCCCGAGAAACAGCGACAGTCTCTTCCGTTGTTTGTACCGTCTTTGAAGGGACCTTGGAACACCTCCACAAACGTACGTAGGGTAAGGGAATTGAGGCTGATGTTGTTGAGGATTCGTTGAAACCAAGAGAACGGGTACACGAAAAGCAAAATCATTGGTAGAAAGAAAAACATGAATGACAATATGATGGCCAATACAGTGAATGGAAGATGGCCCTTGCTGAAATACCCTTCAGAAGGCACATTGAGAACATGGTAATTTGAAGTCAGTTTCATGTGTCCGTCACTTTCGTGCTGGTATGAAAAAATGCGTGTGGGGACTAGAAAGTTCATGGAGGTAAAGAGCAAGTGGGTGGAGGAAAGGTAAACAAAGGACGCAAACACATCCACAAGGGAGGTCCTAATATTCCATCTCCTTTTTAAAGGATTTAAAAAGGCAGAGAATAGCTTCCAAGGCCACACGACAAATTTGAAGTTGCGGTCATGCAGTTTGACCATGGCATATGTTGCTCCAATCAGTATGACTGGGTATATTGTTGTAACGTATTCAAGAGCCATTATTGTCATTGCAGATGCATCCGGATGCAGACAAAAGGCGTAATATAAACGAAAAAAATCAAGGTTCCATAATGCTAACAGGGACATTACGAATTTCAATAGTTTAGGTGCAACTATGTGACCTGATTTGGCAAGGATAAGGAATATCTTGAGCTGGACTGGATGCGCTCCCACTTGACTAACAGTGACTAGTCCAGAGAGCCATGGAGATGTAAAGCTAATTGCAAAGAGACTCACAACAATGTAGAAAAGAGTCAGCGGGCCAAATGCGACAGCCAGGTACTTCAACCAGTTGTACTTGTAGTTGTCACATTTGACACATGCAAGATCATAAGAGTACACCGGAATGGCGTACCCGTTCTTACACCTGCCACATAACTGTCCGTGTCGATTCAGGTCTGCACACATAAAGTTGTCTAACTCAGCCACCGAACATGGTAGTGGGTAGTAGCTCATGTAAGCGTTACATGCATACATGCAAGCACCGACAATTAGAACTCCGTCTTCCTCCGTCATACAGTGGCACAACAGGAGACTAGTTTGAAGAGTCAGCAAGTCTTGCTGTACGATGCCACCTAGTTTAGGTCCAGGGAGGCATTTCCCCGTCTCGTTTGTGAACCACGGTGGACAAACTGTAACACCGTCCTCGTAGTAGGATTTGCTCCGTTTCAATGGGACACCAAGGATTGCCGAACAGTTTGTTTTTGCAAGACTTGCTGATCGCAGACAGTTACAGTCTCCTAGCACTGTCAATAGAAGTAGGACTTGTACTCCTGTCATTCTTCTGTCCTCAACAAAGCCTTACTTAGGAGTTACTAGATTGAAAGTATATTGTTTTGTCAGGTGGTGCAATGTCTGGTGTAAGCAAAACTGTGCTATTTAAAATTTTTGTGGGGATGGAAAAACTTTCAGTTGCAGTAAAACGTCTTAAGGGTAAGGAAAGGATGGATGTGAGGTGGAGGCTGGCTCTCTTTCTTGCAAACAGTGTCACAGTTCTCACTCTCGAGAGGACTGTCACAACTCTGAAGTATGTTCACTGAGCATACACAGCTGATTGTGTTACTCTGGTAATGACAGGGATTGCCCTCACTTTAACCCTGGTGCTCCCTCTTCCCTTAGCTCTGAGTACCTTCACCCTTTCCTCTTACTCTGTTTTTCCTTCTCGCTGTTATTCTTTCTCGACTTTCTTTTGCTCCCTCCATCCTTTGGCCTCTGTTTTATCCCAGCCACCTCTTTTCCTTCCTGAACATACTCATGTATAATACTGGAGTGAGAACACAGCACATGTGTGATGTGGAGAGAAAGACGTTTTCCACCCTTATCGTCTGTTGGTGTCCACAAACAAACTGACTTGATTCAGTAATGTTGCCCAGTGCACAGAATGAACTAGACCAACTATCATAAGAGGATTCTCAGTTACAGTCTCCTAGCACTGTCAATAGAAGTAGGACTTGTACTCCTGTCATTCTCCTGTCTTCGACAAAGCCTCACTTAGGAGTCTACTAGATTGAAAGTATATTGTTTTGTCAGGTGGCATAGTATCTGGTGTAAGCAAAACTGTGCTATGTGTTGGTGGGGATGGAAAAAACTTTCAGTTGCACTAAACGGTAAGGAAAGGACGGATGTGACGTGGAGGCTGTCCTTTTCCTGCAAACAGTGTCACAGTTCTCACTCTCGAGAGGACTTTCACAACTCCAAAGTATGTATACTGAGCATACACAGCTGCTTGTGTTAGTCTGGTAATGACAGGGTTTGCCCTCACTTTAACCCTGGTGCTCCCATTTCCCTTAGCTCTGACTACCTTCACCCTTTCCTCTTACTCTCTGTTTTTCCTTCTCGCTGCTGTTCTTTCTCGACTTTTATTTGCTCGCTCCATCGTTTGGCCTCTGTTTTATCCGAGCCACCTCTTTTTCCTTCCTGAACATACTCACGCACTGAAGTGAGAACACAGCACATGTGTGATGTTGAGAGAATGAGGTTTTCTCATCCTTATCTTCTGCTTCATGTTTCATCATCATGTTTGGAGAAAAGTAAGTAGTAACAACCTAGAGAGTAAAAGTAGCCTATAATATGCTATGCAAAGAATAACTTGAAGTGAATGTTGCAGTACATAACGTCTAAATTTAGAAATGTTGCTCACGGTGGAACACGGATCAACACAGTAGAGGGCGGAAAAAATATTAGCAAAAGTTTATAAACATTGGCACAATCCCTTTAAACAGACTGGTAGTAAGTAGTCTTCACTTCAGGCCTAGTGCCTGAGTACCGCACCTCAGAGAAAGTGGTGTAGTTGCTGATGAGGAGGAGAGGGAGGAGAGAGGGGTGGTAGTGGTGGATGAGGTAGCACAGAAGATGGCCGTCTGAGAAGGAATTGGCGAAGTTGCACACCTGTAACCGGACACAGACAACACCGACGTCCGCAAGACAATGGAATAGGAATGCAAACACATTTTTGGCAAGCGAAGCTACCAGTTTAATATTTCATGTGTTTTTTACACGATCAAGCAGAACATTACGGATGTGAGTGCCCATTACATATAAAATCGAAACGGCTAGGTGGGCTCACTTTGCTCACACATTAAAACGGAAAACTGTGCAAGAAACCCCAAATTGTGCTGAGTGTGTGAGTGCATAAAATCAAGACTCTGCACTAATCCAATGCCAATGAGTTCTAGTGTTGGGCAATGGGATTTCGGTATAAATAAATTGACATAGTGTTGTATTGTGTTGAAGATATGAACAGGTTGAGTTGCCCTGGTAGCGTAGTTGGTAGAGCACTAACCGAGACAACAGAGTTTCGTGGGTTTAAATCCCCACCTAGTGTAGCTCTTCTTTCCTTGGAAAAAAACGGCTGTCCTGGGTGTAGTTGACTTGTTTGTTGTGACTTTTCATTTTCTACCTCGTAGTTTCCAAATGTTTATATATTCTTGGCAGTGGAACTGCAACACACTCCATGAAATCATGATGTCGTCATATTTGGAAAAA